TCTTTAGTCCTCTGTCACACATGTCTTCAGTCCTCTGTATGCTATCCCCCTCCCAGGTCCCTGGACCTGACAGGGCCCCTGCTCCTGGGGGGTGTACCCAGACTCCCGGAGGACTTCCCTGTCCGGAACCGGCAGTTTGTGGGCTGCATGAAGGACCTGCAGATTGACCGGCAGCTCGTGGACATGGCCGGCTACATCGCTAACAATGGTACCGTGCCAGGTATGTCATAGGCCGTGCAGAGGGCGAAATAGCGGTGTAGGGCTGTGTATCAGGGGCATCTGTGTCCTGGACGTTTCCATGTAGCTGGGTGATATTTTCATTTTAATGTTTGTTACTATTATATAATGTTTGTTATTAATGTACATTACAGCTGTAAGGTATGTTAGGATGTTAAGGTATTCATACATGCTGCTTATGAATGTTCTATGAAAGCATTATGAATGCATTATGAAGGTGCAGTTAGTGTAAAGCGTTACCCTTAATCTGAGTGAAATAGTATCTCCCCATAATTAAAGCTATTGCTATTCATTTAATTAAAAAAGTTATTAATTTGTCTAGTTAGAATACAGTAATAATTTAGTGCAGACCTGTAATGTTTATATTTTATTGTGTTGCTATGTTATATTTAGTGCATAATTACTATTATTACTATTATTATTTATAGTATATAAAGTTATAAAGACACTCGGTGCTGCTTAAATTCTTTACGGTACCTCATAGCCTCATTAAGTTTCAATGGATGTTGTGGGAATGAATTTGGGGCAGTAACCCATTTCAAAATCTCTTGGATATTTCCAGGGTGCCCCTCAAAAAGGGAGTTCTGCAGCAAAAACCCCTGTCTGAACGGGGGCACATGTGTGAATCAGTGGGCCTCCTTTGTGTGTCGCTGCCCCCTGGGGTTTGGAGGTCCGAACTGCGAGAGAGGTAAGAGCTCAGGCACTTGAATCCGAGGTGGCAGAAAGAACGATATAGTGAACTCTGGGGCTCTGGTGTTGCTGAGCAGGGTGTCATTCATTCTCAGGACACCAATGCGATTAACCTGATGTTTTTGGACTGTAGAGCTCCCAGAGGAAATCCACACACGCCTGGGGAATAATTGGTGTAATTTGCAGCAGTTTCTGGCAGTGTGATTTTCTTGTAAGTCCTAGAGTAAATAACACCACTGTTGGCTGTGACGTCCGTGACCTTTAGCGCAGCGGCCTGGTCAGCGTGCGGGATTATACACCTCAGCATTGGCATTTCGGTCTAAGCATATGCCATCTTCCATAACCACTTACCCAGTACAGGGCCAGGTAATGAGGCAGGTAACACCCTGATTGATATGCCAGTCCATTGCCCACAAAAAGAATCACACACACTATGGATAATTTAGCCAAGTCAGCTCAGCTAGACATGCATTGTGAGACAGTGGCAGGGACCTGGAGTAAACCAAGGAAAGAGACACAAACGCAGGAACAATATACAAGCTCCACACACACACAACAGGGACACGATTCAAGCCCCCAACCCAGGAAATGTGAGGAAAAGGTTATAATCACGGAATCACCACACCAGGCCATATGTGTTAGTGTAAGAGTTTCCATGATACCAATACAGGGTTGCCAACACACAAATATGTATCATTCCATTATTCCATTAACCTACAATTACCTACATCAAAAGCGTTGGGGTAGTTTGCAAACCCTACAGACTATTTACAATGTAACAGAACTGTGACATGCATGTAAATGTGTGTGCATGTGTGTGCAGACGTGTCTGGATTGAAAATCTCACGGCAGCCAGCTGAGCAAAGCTGGCCTCCCTGCCACTAGAACAGACATTTCAGAACAGCCGCTGGATCTTAATCAGCCTGTTCATCAGTTTTAAACCAAGGTGGCTTCATCGTCATGTCAATGAGATGGAGATGAAATAATGTTCCGATTCACAGTTTGGTGTTTGCATAGTAATGACTGATAACCAAGAAGTGTAGGGGTTGGTCTTAGGAGCCGGGGGTGGGGGTGGGGGGGTGAAGCAGCGCCTCATTATGGGATGGCCAGGGGTGCCTGTGCCCTAGCAACTACCTGGCCACCCCTGTCGCCATCAGAGCAGAACTTCCCGGCACCACATTCATCAGCATCGGTTATCAAACGGGTCAGCAGACGCCGCTTCTGTGAGCTTATCAGACATGTTGGTTGATCAGTTCCTCCTTGTTCTCTGTGAGCTTATCAGACATGTTGGTTGATCAGTTCCTCCTTGTTCTCTGTGAGCTTATCAGACATGTTGGTTGATCAGTTCCTCCTTGTTCCCTGACACCCCCATAAATATGGCTCCTGATGCACCCCTCCCCCCCCGACAGTTTTTTGCAGGCACTGCTGTAGGGAAGCATGAAAGGAGGAAATCACTGTGCGGTTCGTGAGAGATGATGGTCCTGCCCCCAGGCAGTCAATTTAAGTTGAGAAGCAGGAAATGCTGGTGTGTTTTACATATATGCCAAGTGTGTGTGTGTGTGTGTGACCCCCCGTGACCCCGTCCAGGATAATGGAAGGTGGCTGGGCTGATGCGCTGTCTTAGGGCCCAGGTGACACTTTGCCACCTTCAAAAAAGCATAATACCTGACTGTCTTCCCTCACTGTGCCACAGAAATCTGAAGCTAAACATAAATACTGCCCACCAGTGAATCACCATTTGCCCAGACTGTTGGCATTGAGAGTAACAGCAAAGCATGAGCTGGCTGAATATAGCGGTGTGGCGTTTTTTAGTTAAAACCAGAATGGCAGAAGTTATTTTCCTGTTTCACCATGGGGGGTGTCGCTGTGTGGAAGCTGCAGGCCTGTAAATGTGAGATGCTGTGAAGTCATTCATCCCGTCGACTCGCCAGAATTTCCCGTTGCTTTGTGTTTGTGCTTCAGCCGTATTCCCCCTATAGGCTGGAAAATTATGATGTGTGTTTTTTTTCTGCCATCTGTCATCGCTAAAAAGAACGGCAGCGATGAAGGGGGGGATTATACATTTATATGATGTTTATGTAACATTTTTTTTAAACGCCACACTGCACATTCAGCTGTATTTGAATAAACGATGCCAGTTGGGGGCGCTGTCAGCTCTTGGGGGGGCTGCGAACAGGTTGGCGCAGCCCGATTTGGCATAAAACACACATTGAGGAACTTTACGCATCCATTCCATTCCCGGTGTGTGGAAGAAGGTCGGGGCGAGCGAGAGAGAGAGAGAGACGGCAGGCGGCTGCTGTCGTTTGCTGGAGACCTGAGACAAACACCTGCATTCGCCAGTCTTACCTGCACACCAAATAGTTCTTTTCTTATATATGCGATAATAATGAAAGACTTCTTTTCATGAGATGTGGTGTTTCTTTGTAGCTGAATTGGATATAGTCCCGTATTCTGAAACCACTCAGTTATTTGTTTGTTTTTTGTCTAACTCTGACCCAGCGAGTCGGGTCTGCAGGTGGATCTTTACCTTCTGATCGTTTGGTTCAAAGCCCCTCCACAGAAGGTTGTGAGTTTTTTTCCGCACTTCGTTCTGCTGTTGCCATTGCCCACGGTAGGCTTCCCCGTCCCGCGCCAGCCACGCTCTCCAGCTCGGGTTTGCGGGATGACCTGTCAGGGAGGCTGAAGTCCTGCTGCTATGTATAGATCTGCTTCTGAGCAGCTGGACGAGGCGTCGGAAGATCAGCAGCAGCCGGAGGAGACGCTGGTGCTTTTGAGTAGAGCCCTGCCGGTTCCTCAGAACTCGTTGTGCCAGCCTGATGGCAAATCTGTTCTCTCAGGCGCTAATGGGGAGATTGCTGGAAGGCTCCTGTTCCGCTGGTGGTTCCTCGTGCCGTTTCACGCACGGCTGGCTTTGAAGAGGGACTTCTCTCCTGCGCCGTTTAGGTCTGGGGGGGGCTAATGTGCGAGACCTTCTTTAGTTGTGGAGGGATGGACTGATTCAGCTGTTTCTTTCAAAAGGATTCCACATCGTTTGGTGCTGGTCATTTCCGGGCTTGGGGGCCAAGAGCCTGGAATTTTAATGGCCAAGAAATCAGGGTGGTGGGGTGGGCAGCTACCCTGCCCTCAGAATCCCCCCGGCGTATTCACTTTGCGTGTCTCCATCTCCGTGTGCCCTGTGATGGAGAAACCAGCCATTCGGAGCGTCTCCTGTGCTCCAAACTCGCTGTCACTCTGTATTAGATAAGCGGTTATACCAGATGGGTTAAAATGAAAGTAAAGTTTGAACAGTAATGAAATGTTATTAAAATAATCTGTTTTTAGTAGTCATTGATTACCTTGTGGTGATAGCACCATTAAAGTCCTCATAGCTTTGTATATGCACAGAGTAATACACGGGTACGTACTGGTGAACAGAGCCACACAACACTATGCCTTTGCTGCCTTGGAAAGCCTTAGTGAGCCGTCTGTTTCGGGAGCGGCGCAGTGGGGAAGGCGTCACGGCGACAGAATTTATTTAACACGAAACACAAAGGCCTCATTTTGGTGGCTGAAATAAAGGGGGTTTGGCTTCTCGATTGGCTCCAAGTTAGTGTGATTGGACCAGAAAACAGCATTTTATACTTTATGCTGGGAATGAGGGACTGACAGATGTGATTTTATACCCATAATGCATTGATCTCTTTGGAGGAATGTGAGCCTTGTGGGCTTTTCTTCTTGCCGCATGGCATGCTGGGAGCTTTAGAGTACCCGTGACGGGGACTGTCTGAGAGATCCTGAGCCCTGCTTCTTCCTTTGGATACTTTAGTTGCAGAAATCCCGTGAACTTCATTTGCATAATTAATCCCATTTCCCCGCAAAGGGCAGTCAGGACGGGCAGAGAGTGGGGGGGGGGGCATGGGAGGGAGTCTTGGGTGGATGAGGGGGTGTGAGGGGGAGCTATCAGGAGTGAACCAGTGATACCAGTGGCAGGGGGCTACACACACAGTAGAACAAGCAGTTTCTAGTTCTCAGTCTGCCGACTCCATTATAAGCAGTCATGCCCCCCCTACCCCTACTTTTCCAGATTTGTAGAGAAAAGGGGGCCGGTTGCCTTATTTTCGTTTGTGCCAGCTGTCGACTCGGTATTTTTAGCAATGTTTAATCAGAGCTTTCTCTGGACCATTTTACCCCCCCCCCCCCCACTGATCTCGGAGTGCCACTCACAGGTTGTTTATTACCATGAATTATCATCACCGGGGTCTGACACAGGGCCTTTGGGGGATTGTCTCAGGCCTGAGCGGGAAACAGTACCCTCACCCCAGGCTGTCTGCTTATGGCTTTACCGATGCACCATCTGCAATGGGCGCTGGCGTTTGTGATGCCGAGGGGGCGTGGCCTTTCGCAGTCTGCATGCCGCTCTTTTAGGGGTATATATGTGAGTTGGAGGATTGCACAGACTTATATGTCTTGACGGAACAGAATCGTGTTTCTTCATTTGCAGCTTGGACTTTCCATCGCCCTCCAAACGCTGTTCCACTCCACTCAGCAGTTAACTGCTCCCAAACCCTCATTAGCCCCCATCTTCTGCTCCTGTGTTGCAGAAATGGGCGGTCCCCAGCGTTTCCAGGGAAACGGCCTGATGCAGTGGAGTAACCTGGAGGCGGTTGCCGCGGCGCCCTGGTGTGCAGAGATGATGTTCCGCAGCAGGCAGGCCAGCGGCACCTTGCTCTGGGCAGCGGCCGCACAGCACTACAGCATCTCACTGCATGTGAGCAACAGCGCCCCCCCCCCCCCCCCAAGCTGATCTACGCATGTGCTGACATCAGTGTGACATCATGTGCTTCATAATGCTTCAACTGTTTCTCTCCCATCTCTCACATTTCTTCAAGCAATAAAAACCTTCTTCATATCATTAAAAAGGGTTAAGAAGTCTGTAAGGTGATTAGTGACTGAATTTGGCTTTTAGAACCAGAAAGTCAGTCTATTGAGTCAAGTAGCATGTCATTAGTGGTCAAGTCCAGGTCACCAGTTAACGAGGGCAAGTCATTAATTATTTTTCCTTTTTTACCTTTTTTTTCTAAAGAAAGTGACTTTCATTCTGTTTCTAATGAACAATTGCAAATTTCTGTATTGTGTGAACTGAATAACGTTTAAATGACTTTTTAGACAGAAGTGTGGTAATGCATTAATAGAAATTTTACTTCTTTTTTAGAGGTGAGATGTATTCAGAATTCGAGTGTAACGCCAATCTAAACAGCCTCGATGTGTCAATTAGAGAAACACGTTTGCAACAACAAGCTCCGCTCTTCACTCAACAAGAACATTTACTGAGAAGGTTAAACGCTGCTCGTTAACCCCCCGATCCAGCTTGCTATAAGGGTGGATGGAAATATCCAAATTATTTTTAAACCCCAACAGAAGGATATCGCCCGGTGTTCCTTACAGTCACCCAACCAGAATATGCCTGTTTTAGCAACTTACCTCGCTGGGCAACCTAAAAAATTATGTAGAATCTGTAACTGTCACTGCTAGTAGTACAGCACTGCAAAATGTAAGTAATCATTAAAACCGGGATGTTATTTATGGTAACTCATAAATTAGCCAGTTCCGGCTACAAATAGCTAGTTAAAAGTGGCCGGCTTTTCAGCGTTCTGTGCTGACATGGTGTGATTTAATCAGCGTTGGGAGCCGTGATTATGGCTTCTCAGTAAGTCCTCGAGTGGGACGCCTCATGTAGCCTGATGCTGTTCCAAGTTTCTTTTCTAATCTCCTTTTTTTGTCTGTTTGTGCTGTTGTAGACTGTCTATATATTCTGGATTTTGAAAATGTACTCTGGGTTGGGGAACCTTGTTAGCCGTCATGTATGTGGTACTCCGTGGGCGAAGCTAACCTACACTTCATGCGTGAAGAACAGCCTGATTGGAACCCAAATTTGATAACATTGCTGCTTTTTTTTCCCTCAGCCATTGTTATTAAGCTGCGTTTTTCCTGCTTAATAAGCTGAGCACAGATTACGCTCTACGGCGTCTCAAATGATCAGGTCCAAGCTGCAGATGTAATGCAGTTACAGGAATTGCGCTTCACGCCGCAGCGCTGTGTGTCAAACGAATGTGTCTGTCCCTTCTGCTGGCAGCTCCGGGACGGCTATGTGACAGTGGTCCTGCAGAGAGGCGAGGACTCCTTCCTTTCCTGCCTGGACGCGTGGAGGGCAGACGATGGAGAGTGGCACCACCTGCAGGTGGAGATACGTGGGGGGGGCACGGCTGCCCCCTACCAGGCCATCATGTCCCTCGACTATGGGCTGAACATGGTGAGTCGGGGGATGGCCTCTCAGGCCACGCTGATGTCCTGGGTGCCATGTGAATGGGAGTAGCCATGACATCATATCCTGTCTTCTTGGCCGTTTGGGGATTGACCTAGAAATGGCGCTGTTGTCTGCTTCTGAATGGAGGGTACTTGTTTCCATCTGTGATCGGCATTGTTATAGCACTAATCAGTGTTAGGTTTCGACCTATTATTAAGTGCCATCGTGTCAGTGTCGCCACCTGGTGGCCGTATGGATGACATTTGACCAGAGACTCCTGATTGTAAAGGTCATGTTGAGAAACAAGTGAAAATCATCCTATATGTCACGATTAAAAGAAAAAATCCTGCTTCTCGGATCTGCGTGGATCAGGATCTGGGCATGAGTTCTACTGGATCAAATCCGGATAAGTGGTGCTGTACCAACTGGTGTCCATAATGGTTTCTCCCAGAGAACTGGCTGCAGATGCCAGGGTCTTTGTGCCGTTCTCATGTGAGTTTTTCAAAAATAGGATTTGCCGTAATGCAGAGCACAGAACTTGCACTATAAAGACAAACGTGTGTCTGTGCACTTGCCTGTATGCATATGCGTATGCGTGTGTATCCCTGTGAAATGTGCGCACGCCTGTGTGTATGTGTGTGTGGCCATGTATAAATTACATTGTGGGGACCAAATGTCCCTATAATGTAATACAAACCTGTTATTTTCCCATTGTGTGGATATTTTTTCAGTCCCCACAAGGGGAATTTTAATTAAAATTTGGGTAGGGGTTAAGGTTGTCATTGTTGGGATTAAGGTTCTGCCCATAGAAATGAATGGATATGAAGACAAACGTATGTGTGTGTCTGTATCTGTGTAAACTCCTTCAGGCCAGCATGGACCTGGACAGCAAGCTGAGGGGCCTGAAGCTCAAGACCCTGAGTGTGGGAGGTGTCCCAGCTCTCGATGGAACGGTGCAGCACGGTTTTCGCGGCTGCCTGCAGGTAGATGACATCATCATCGTGTGTGGCCTCCTCCTTATGGAGTGTGGACTCCTCCTCGCCGTGTGTAACCTCCTCGCCATTTGTGGCCTCCTCCTTATGGAGTGTGGACTCCTCCTCGCCGTGTGTAACCTCCTCGCCATTTGTGGCCTCCTCCTTATGTTGTGTGGACTCCTCCTCACCGTGTGTGGGCTCTTCCTCGCCGTGTGTGGCCTCCTCCTTATGGTGTGTGGGCTCCTCCTCACCGTGTGTAACTTCCTCGCCGTGTGTGGCCTACTCCTTATGGTGTGTGGGCTCCTCCTTGCTGTGTGTGGCCTATTCCTTATTGTGTGTGGGCTCCTCCTTGCCGTGTGTGGCCTCCTCCTCGCCATGTGTGGCCTCCTCCTTATGGTGTGTGGACTCCTCCTCGCTGTGTGTAACCTCCTCGCCATGTGTGGCCTCCTCCTTATGGTGTGTGGGCTCCTCCTCGCCGTGTGTAACCTCCCCACCGTGTATGGCCTCCTCCTTATGGTGTATGGGCTCCTTCTCACCGTGTGTAACCTCCTCGCCGTGTGTGGCCTCCTCCTTATGGTGTGTGGGCTCCTCCTCGTCATGTGTAACCTCCTTGCCGTGTGGCCTATTCATTATTGTGTGTGGGCTCCTCCTCGCTTTGTGTAACCTCCTTGCCGTGTGTGTCCTCCTCCTTATCGTGTGTGGGCTCCTCCTCGCGGTGTGTGGCCTCCTCCTTATGGTGTGTGGGCTCCTCCTCGCCGTGTGTAACCTCCCCACCGTGTATGGCCTCCTCCTTATGGTGTATGGGCTCCTCCTCGCCGTGTGTAACCTCCTCACCGTGTGTGGGCTCCTCCTCGCCATGTGTGCCCTCCTCCTCACTGCATGCCTGCATGCGGTTGTCCGCAGGGCCTGCGTATGGGGGAGACTCCCTCCAGTGCTGTGAGTCTCAGCTTCTCCAGGGCCAGGCGGCTCAACGCGCAGCGTGGGTGTGACCTTCCGGACCCCTGCCACTCCAACCCCTGTCCTGCCAACAGCGACTGCAAAACCAAGTGGGATGGCTACACCTGTACCTGCCGCCCAGGTGAGGGGGGTAGCAGGGAGGGGGGCTTTTTAACGTGATTACTTAGAAGGCAACATTTTATAGCCAGATGGGTGTTTAACGGGGCTTTAACTTGTTTGTTAAATATCACAACATTCCTGGAATTTTTCTTAGCAGCAAGTTCAGTTTCTTCACCAGTGCGCCCCCTGCTGGGCCATGTGGAGATATTGCAATTCAGAAAAACTTGATAAATCCCTTCAGCATGTAGGGTTAGGCTAAGATTCCATATCACGCCCCCCCCCCCCGCTGCATCCCCAAACAGCCCAAACATGTGTGATTCTGGTCCAGTATCACATGTCTTATCCTTTAAGCTCAGCTCCGAATCACATGTTCAGAGTACAGCCCTGGAAAGTTCTGATCCCCAAGGTACAAAGAACATGAATGGTACCCAATGGTACAAACATGTTCCTCAGAGTTTATTTCCGTACCTTAAAAGATACGTTCACCTATACCTAAAGGGTATAACTGACAGACCCTTGAGGGTAGAGCCCCAGTGAAAATAATTGTATCCTCAAGCATTGTACAATTACAATGTTTTTTGACAGTGTACTGTGACCTGGAAATGAATAACCAGCTAATAAAACGGAAATGGAGTTTGCCTGTCAGCCACAAATGTCTCTGTTGCTACCAGGTTACTATGGTGATCGCTGTACAGACGTCTGTTTTCTGAATCCATGTGAGAACCAGTCGATATGCGTGAGGAAACCAGACACGGCCCGTGGGTTTGCCTGTCACTGTCCCAGCAACTACTTTGGCCAGTACTGCGAGACCAGGTGAGAGTGCAGCCAATGACAGCTCCCATTTAAGCCCAGGAGGCGCAAGCCCCGCCCCCTTCTATTGACGGTCCAATTCCCCATGGAGCTGCTGCTCCCAGGGATGTCTGCCCCCCCCCGGCGTAATCAGCTCCAGCTTCCCCTAACCGGTGTGTGACCCGCAGTAGGTGAAAACATAAATGCTTATTGGATAAAGTAGATGGATAGATGAATAAATGAATGGATGAATAACAAGAGACTTGACATAGCGCCACAAAGCTGCTCGCTCGTTTTTGCTCGGAACATGAGCTCCGTGCCCCCCAGCCGCAAGCAAGCCCTTCAGACAGATCATCCACTCCTAAGCCCCCTAGTCAGCAGCCATTATGCTGCACGTCCCTTCCCAGGATCGACCAGCCATGCCCACGGGGATGGTGGGGGCACAGCACTTGCGGGCCGTGCTCCTGCCGACCGGACCAAGGCTTCCACGCTGATTGCAACAAGACAAACGGAGAGTGTCGCTGCAAGGTGAGCTGGCCGCCAGCCCTGAGGGCCGCCTCGCTCCTCATGGGAGATCGTTCTGCTTGGCCCCGATCCTGTAACATCATCAATGCGCCCCCTGGTGAATAACTTGTGTATTACAGACTGGGCATTATGAGCAACTATATAATCTAAGAAAGCGATAATAGTAAACATGCCATGATATGAACCATATTAATACATAACTTTTTTATATAATTTTGTGTTGTGTGGTGCTTTTGCAATACAAATTTATTATATCTAGAGAACCAAATCAAAAGTATATTATTAGCAGAATTAATCCATTTGGTTCTATAATGTTGTATGCAATGTGTCTCTCCTTTCTTTCTTTCCCTGTTTCCCTCATTCCTTTCTTTCTTTCCCTGTTTCCCTCATTCCTTTCTTTCTT